AAATAATATTTATGTATTTTCTTAGAAACTAATACATTGTAATTTTGAAAAATTTCATCAATAAAAAAATAAAATTAAAATATTGTTTTTTCCTTTGTCCTCTAAAAAGCGTTCTACTCCTCCTTAGTTGGTTTTAACAACTGGCCTAGAATGAAATCGTTGTATGGTCCACCCAAGAATTTCAGATTTATGACCTTTTGCACTTAACCCTTCTTATCTCTGATACAATCTCAAGAATGTTAAAAGCCCCCCTCCCCCCAATTGACGAAACGTGAAATCCGCGAACTAAAACCGCGAATCAAAACCGCGAATTAAAGCCGCGAATTACAACCGTGAATCAAAACCGCGAACTAAACCGTGAATTAAAGCCGCGAATTAAAACCGTGAATCAAAACCGCGAATCAAAACCGTGAACTAAACCGCGAATTAAAACCGCGAACTAAATCGCGAATTAAAACCGCGAATTGAAACGCGAATTAAAACGCGAATTAATCTACCCCACCTCCCCACCATCCACTCATGGGGACTCTCCCATAGCTCTTGACCTCCGAATCGACGAAAAGTGAAATCCGCGAATTAAAACCGCGAATCGAAACCGCGAATTAATTAATCCCATCCCACCACCCATTCGCGGGTCACCGACCCTTCCCAAAATGGTTGGGCCAGATCCGGCCCTATACCTCTACTTTTATGATTAATTTTTTGCCTAATTTATTGATCCAATGAGCAATTTATTGATTAGTAACAAAGTCTGCGAACCAAGTAAGGGCGAAACGTGGCCGCCTGTCGTGGTCCTTTTCAGGTTTTAAAATCCAGTCTTCATTATGCTTTGCGTTATATTTCCTACGAGGCCCTAATGTAGTAACCTTGACCCTCAGTTGGTTACCTCATGAAGCCGACCTATAGAGCGCCACAGTAGAGCCAGTGAGATGCTAGAGGTGGGGTGGCCAACCGAGGGTTAACAGGACCGAATCTTTTCTATAGCACAGTGGACCAGGGCCCAACAAGTCAAGTATTAAAATTTCTACTCATGGAGCAGTTAAATATCAAAGTGTGGTTCGTAATGATTCATCTGCACTTTTTATGAAAAATTGGGAGTAAAAAAGAATTTTCTTTTCTCGAAAATTGGGTGCAGTGGACAGTATTTCATTATATCATTTGAGGTGTCTACTATAGGGGAAATATGGAGATCCTCATTTCAATAACATCAACCAATGACATGAAAATCCTTACCCAGATATACACCTATCGCACAACTGATGATTCCAATTGGCCAATAGTATCCAACGGAAAATGCGGTAGGGCGATAAGCAACTCCTGTGTGTTCGTAAATTGTTGAAGTGATAATCTGTTTTAAAAGATGAAATTGTGTTTTTATGCTCTAAGGCTGCCCTCGAGACTCAAACGAGGCATCACTTTAAAGGGATTGTCTCAATCTCGGTGAATACGGAAACTGTTAGTATCGTCACAGTCTGAAAAGAGGCAGTACCGGCTCTTTTCGTGATGACTCCCAGTCAATGTATCTGACCTCGGTCTCAAGTTTGTCGTGCTTCTTCACTGTAAAGTCCCGGTTTCAGTCTCGGTCGTCTCGTCTCGGTCTTTTACACATAAAAAACATGAAAAACTTGTAACCGAGATGTGATAAATGACTGGGAGTCCTCATGAGAAAAGCCAATACTGTCTCTTTCAAGACTGGGACGATACCGAAAGTTTCCGTGATCACCAAGACCAAGACGATCCCTCCAAAATGGAGTCTCGTATGAGTCTCGTGGGCAGTCCTATTATTCTCCCATTCACATATATGAATCTACTGTGGTCATCTCACCAAAGTAACAAAACTAATAATAATAATATTTATGTTTAGGAATAGTAGGAGACTCGATTCTATATCTGTTCATCGTGGAACTACAGAAATTGATTCATTAGCGTTCAAATGAACGTTCAGCTGAAAAATCGTGAATGAATTCACAGTGAGCCTCGACATGTCTCGTTACACTCAATCACTCCTTCAAAATCCAATAGACTTATTCAAGTAATGAAAGGAACTAAAAATGCTCTTCGACGAATTTTTGATAATTGTGTTCTGCAGTATAATAGAGGCTATTGGTTGCCGAAGGAAATATGATGTGTCACCCGGTGGAGGGAGATTTCTCCTCAAACTATTGCTAATACTTTGCTGTATCATTAGTACCGACTGTGAGCCGCTAAGGGGTATCAAGGAATTACAAACTGCCTTGCATGAGGATCGCGTACCACCACCATTTCTCGGACATTGTGATTTTGAGAGACCTTGCAGGTCATGGACGCATAGAGATAATTTTCAGAAAATAACACCGGAAACTAAGAGAGATGGAGTCCCGAAGACCGATGCCAGCGATAATCCAAAAGGTAATAGCGCATTCGAATGTGATCTTTTTCCCGATTTTGAATGAGAGCATTTCAATTGTCCGATTTTCACATTTTGTAATTTTGTTCAGAATTGAAAGAAATACAAATTTTACCGATAATTTCCATGTGAGCAGGTATTTGCCAGTCCCCCCTTGTATATCAATTTTTCATAAGCTGAAACATCAGTTAAAACGATTCCAAAAACTTTCAAAATATGTAAGATAGTTACACCAGTAATACCCTTCGGGCTTCAAAATAATCAACTTCCTGACAAATTCGTTATGTACAACCTAGACCCGAATTGCCGATGCTGTTGAATTCTCGGTCTAGAATTGGCATGCCAATTCATGCCGATCCAGTCAGGGACAAATATCGGCCTTGGATTCGCATCCCAAGTCTCGACGACTTATCAACGGCCAAATATTGGCCGCACATTTAATGGCTATTCGGCGACCCTGGCAGGAATTGACAATGGAAACAAGGCTCACCAAGTCTGAAATTACGACTTCAAAATTCGTAATCCGGCCTAGGTTCAAGCTTGAATCAGTTTACATTCAGCCTCAAAATGATAACGAGGGGCTAGCCACTTCTGAAATTATGGTATCACAGGCCACTGAAATCAATTTGCAGTCAATGAAATCATGTGATATTTCAGGAATTCACTATATGCATTGTCTAAATCTCACTTTATCCCTACAAAATCGTGATTATTATTTTTTATATACACTCCATCGAGAATCTCCATTCTGGTTCGGTTCCGATTCGAGTCTATATTATTGAAAAAGATTCAGAAACGTTACGGTGGTTATTAATGACGGCTCTAGGGTATGTTGTGTGACGTATTTCGTACCTCTACGGAATGATACGAAGATACGCAGCCCTCAGTGACCGAAACAACAAATTAAATAGTTGGGCGCCAGCACGTGTGAAACGTGTAAAAATCACAAACTCAAAATATCTGCAGTGGCGGCTGGGTTCCACAAAATGCCGTCCTATAAAATTCTGAAATGACTGGGTTTTTAACTTATTCCACATGAATCACAAAAATCCGAAATTACGGGGAATAAACAGCTTTTATTCAAATGAAAGCCCCTTTCTTATTCCTCAAATATTTCTCTCAAAAACTCGAAAATATATATCACAATAAATTACAAATCACAAAGCTAAAGATTCAGTACATCGCAATTTTTCCCTATCCGTAATCTGTCAATAATAAAATACCAGTTAAGGTAAAACGATACTCAGAATAAGTCAAGATAAATTGAAGTCAAAATGAAAATGTCAAAAGGTGAAATAACTAGTACGGTACTGAATCAGTGAATAATTTGTAACGTGGCCAAATTTTTGTTTGGACAAAAATGAACGTTATCTCACCCTTTTCCCTTGGTAAAGTCAGAAAACTGAAACTCGATGGTTGTGGGCGCCAGTTGTTCTTTGTCTCGACGGAAACAACAAACCTAAATTAGGTCGAAGCGGAAAAATACAACGGAAACCCAAGATGCAAAAATACGAAACAAAATTAAACTTAAAGGGCCAAGGGAAAGGTGACAGGGTGCTCGCGCCGCTCAGGGGGTCGGTTGAGGAGAGAGGGGTAGGTCAAGGTGGAAATAGGTTACCGGGCTCTTATTCTCAAAACAAGGAAACACGAAGCTGAATTTTAATGCTGAAATGTAGACGGCTATATTGTTCGTAAATTTACAAAAATGATTTACTCAAATTCACCGCAAAAGAAATCAACATTAAATAATCCATAGAATACTGAACTCAATAAAAAGAATAAATTTTTCCCTAAGAGAGAGTAATACAAGATTGAGACAATGGCAATAAAAGATGCACAATTGACTCGATAAATTTTGAGTAGACAAAGAACCAGAAATAGAGCCAAAATCAAATTAATTCTCTAAACTTCTATCCCTATAAGAATGACTAAAAACGCGACGGTAGACGCAAGGAAAATAATACCGGAAAACTGAGAACACAGTAATTAGGCCAAGATCGACATAAACAATCATCCCTGCCAAATGAATTAATTCTGATCAAATCCCGAGTTGAACAAAATTAATAAACCCGAAAGGAATCCGAATGAGGCGCGATGTAGCGCGATATACGTATCGAAATTGTACTCACATCCCTAACACAATAAATTGGGATTCGCTTTAACGAACGCATACGCAGTCAACACTCGAAATGTCGAATAGCGCCACCGAATGATTTCGGGCGCCACCGAATGATTTCGGGGAATTCAAACGCGGCTCAACTCTAATTATTCCTAACTTTATAAAATTAGGAAATCAAAATCCCTACTTGATGTGCTAAAATCTCCGCCAATCAGAGCCCGCCTCTGTTGGCCGGAATTTGCGCTACGATTAGTGCCCGTGACACTGATCCAGGGCAGTTAGTTCCGCGTTGACCGTCCCAAACAACTAGTCGCGTGTGAATTTCTGTGTGTGCCCACACGACGTAATTGTGTCTGCACGGATTATCATTTCTTTGAGAAGCTGTAAAGATCCAGGATGGTCCGAAAAGGGAAGAGGACCATTAAAAACCGAAAAACAGTGAGTATTCTTGTATTTTTCCCCCTAATTTCGAGCCATTTTCGAATGGCGTCGTTTCCCCTTCATGGCGGTATCCCTCGCGTGGCCCTCAGCCACGTGCAGTGGTTGATCACCCCTTTTTAGTCATATTTGTTGGTTCGAAATTGGCATTATCCCTTATCCCAGATATTTATCCACGGGTCCTTCCGATTTTTGGATCGGATATTCCACCAAAATCGGGTCGGTACCGAGTTCTCCCCGTTCCGGTTTATCCCAATCATCTTTTGAGATGATTTTCAGGTTCAGCGAGAGTAGACATACAGAGCCGATCCTGGATATTACTTCGGAATCGGGCCGTTAGATGGCGCGGTGGTCACGACGGGTCAGATGGGGAGTCTGATCATGTCTCTTGCAGCGGGTGGCAGATGGGGGGGGGGAGGATATCTCATGGTTACGTCATATGGCGGGGATCCAACACTTCTTGAAGCAGTGTCGACTGCAAAATAATCTCGCTGGGCCGAGCAAAGGCTTTTGGGAAAAATGCTGTGGGGAGGGGGGTGGGGGGGGGGCGTTGACTCAACGAGAATGATGTCGCTGGACCGAGATGAGGCATGGGATAAGGCTGTGATCTCACGGTGGATATTCGATGGTTGCGTCTTACGGCGGGTGTCAAGGTCGCGCATTTAATCACGTACGTGTTATCTAAACAAGAGCGGTCTCGCTGGGCGTCGAGGCAATGGAACGAAGAATAGTTTTGAGGAAATTATTATAAGATTTAATGTAGATACCCAATGAAACTATGTCAAAATATGAAAAAATCTTCGTGAAGCTCTGGAAAAGAAAGCGGAGAGAAATACCTGTTGAGATATTTACAGGTAAATATGATTGAGTATGTACTAGATTTATTGTTCCAGAGTTGGAAAAAAATTGAAACATTCCTGGAAAATCTCGTAACGTATCTTTCAAGAGTTGCCAAAAAAAAATTAAAACATTCATAGAAAATCTCATATAAGTATTAATCTAACGAAAAGATAATTTTAAAAAAATGATTCAATCGTGAGGCGGAAAGTCGTAGTACGTTCAATCATGTCTGGTTTTGAAGACTCAGTTGAATGTTTACATGAAGGCACGTGGCTGCCTGTCAGCTGAGAGCACCGGCAACGTTCTCACACCTAGCTAGCTATGCTTCTGGCGTTGACTCGCAGCGGAATGACCAAAGTTGATTATATATATATGTAACTGAGAGAATTTATCAATGCGGAATAAAACAACCACTGTAGTTCACCACCATCTGAAATAAAATGCCGAACACAATTTTTTAATGATAAAAAAAATTGAAATAATCTCTTAAGAATTCATTGAATATATATTTTAAAAATCATTAAGAAAATAATACATGACGATGTGAAAAAAAACATATGATAATGATGAAAAATAATCTTTTACATAATTTCATCCATGTTATATATATAAAAAAAAGCGGAAAAATGATAATACAAAAGAAAAAAATAATTTGACAAGAGTTCATTCGTGACAGTCCAGTTTTCACTCAAAAATATCATTGAAATCACTTTGATCAGTCCCGATACGATGATAATAACATTTGAACCATTCAGACAATCCATACGCATTCGCGAGAGCACAACAGACGGACTCATCAGGTGTTTTGATGTTCTGATGCACTTTGGAATGTGGGCAGTCCTTGATGTAAAAATTGGAAATGTTTGGACAATTGTAGTCATCCAAATTGATGATTTTGTAAAAATCCCCCAGTGATAATTGTTGCAGGTATTTCACTTTTTCTAATCCTTTAACGTAAATTTTCATCACACTTTTATTCAGAAAACTTTGAAAAACTTTTTCAATGTCATCATAATCACATTCACCAATTTCCCACAATATTCCATGATAATTATGTGTGAGCCATCTGTTGGTTCGGACATCCATAGCCTCGAGATCAGTCCAAGCGCACGGTGGGCGAAATACAATGTGTTGAGTGAAACTCGCCTCAATATCCGATGATGATTGCACTGCCACAACACCCAACTCTTTCAAAACAAAATTCCCGTTTCTGCGGAACCCTTGTAGATCAATGATCAATTCCATGATATCACTACTTTTACTTATAAATTTCTAAAAGACTCAATAAAGTCAAACAGCATGTAAGCTCCTTCCAAAGCGGTATCAGTGCCGTGCTCGCTCAAGACAGTCACCACATCATCGTCTGCTCCACCGTTCTCCAAGCCCCTCACTGGCTGCCCCTTCCCACCACTGGCTTGCTCCATCTCTTTCATCTCCTCCAACGTTTCTATATCTGCACTGCCCTCCAGCCCATTGGATGACTCACATATTGGGTTGTCTTCATCCTCCGATGAACTGCTATCTTTGTCAGCACACTTTTCTGCTAAAGCCCCTTTAATGAAGATGAAAAAATCATTGTTTTTCATGAGGATCGTGCGGACACCA